ATTTGATTTTACTGTGATAAAACACAATTGGACGTACGTTGTTATATTATAAGCAAACGTTACAAGCCTTTGTATTACCCCTCGCATAGGGCTTTTTTGCTACTAGCAAACGATACATTTTACCAATCGCATATGCCGTTTTTACCACTAGCATATGGCATATTTTGCTACTTGCGACTCGCAACTTGGTACTCGCATACGGCACTATTTCTAGGTCGTACATACCTCTTCATTTATATGGCATTATGGCTTTAGTGTCGCATCAATGTCGTGTTATTAAAAAGTTGAGGCGGTTATCGCTTCGTTTCATTGTAGGCCTCATTATGGCGACAATGTGGCATCAGCATCGCGTCAACAAAGACGTACAGTACTGAATTCGCCCAACCTTCTGCCCGCTTTCGATTTTCAATCCTTTTTTTTCGCTCGCTTTTGCGACCGCTTGTAGAATTCGGCCGGACAAATTCCGTCCGCCTTTTTTTCGACCGCGCAAACCCGGAAATATCACCGCTCGCTCGCTCGCTGGCATTTAAAATGTGATCGGACTTAAACTTAAAATTGTGAGTGAAACACAGAAAAATACCACCAAAATGACGATTTTGTATCTGTTTTCTTGCCAGAATAAAATGAACAAAAATAAAGTAATTTATAACAAAACAGTTTCATTTCGTATATAGTAAGTTGTGTTGTATCCGACCGACAATTGCATCACGATTTTCCTTGCAGTCAATATGACATTCGTCACCTCGCAGATTGTACTGTACTTAACACAGTTTTTGATGCCCAATACACACAACACTAAAATAATTAAACAAGACATTTTTGTGAACTGTCATTTTACTTTTGATCATATTATTTTATTTCCCTTATCGCCTTGAATTTCAAATCGAATAATGTCGAACTTCGGTACATCCGTTTTTTCTCTATGGCCTGCCAAAATACTTAGCTGATATAGCTGATGCCATGTTGATGCCATGAGTCTGCGAATCTGAGGCCACGATTATGCCACAAAATAAACGAGGCGAACGCAGCTTCAATTTTCAATGACGCGATGTGTAGGCGACAATGATGCCACAAAAGCCAAAGCTTTTGCGATAACTATACTGTATGTGTATATTTTAGTTTGTTATTATGTTGATGCTATACAATAACGTATTCCTTTGGTGATGATGTTATCATATTTAAAATTGTGTTTGGCAGTTTGTGTTACGATAAGGGTCTTGCTAAATATCTAGGCACTTCATTGAAATGCTGAACGATTTCAATTTCATTTTGTTCTTCTTTAGGTGCCATTAAGCTTAAATTTCAGTAATAGTTCACCAGAACGGTCAGCTACATGTTGCAATCAAATCTAACATTGGTTTAAAACTACTTGTAACATCACCAGATACGAAATAGTGCCTTCATGTTAACTATGGACACGACTTATGAAGAGAATTTTGTGAAGCCATGAAGATGTTAGTAGTCAGTGTGTATCATGTCATCGTTTTAACCTATTGTCACCTAAGTAATATTATTCAACTACGTCAATGTATTCTATACTCTCTTGAATTCTCAGAAGAAATATTACAAGTAATTCTCAGATGTCTTCATCGCAGCAATGTACAAACTGTCACTGGCACTCTGTTTTAAATGTCCTTGCTGTCTTTTACGTTTAGTTTCTTTAGAAGACAATTTCCAGCCACTGTCAAATTATAAGATTTTGACTATTGCTTCTGTGCAGTGAAGCTAGTAACGTGTTCGGCAATGTGTTCATAGGAGGGAGATTCATTGATGATTTCACCTTCATATTGTGACATAATTGTTGACACATACCTTTCATTGTTTTAGTCCAGAATAGATCATCCCTGGAATGAACTTCTGACTGGTTCATTCTGGTTCACCAATGACGCCCAGAAGCACAACATATGTTAGACTCTTCCAAATGTTATAATTACTTTTACCTTCTCTACAATATAGAAATACGATGCATGTTACACCCAGTTAGAGCATGCATTGCTGGTAGACGTAGACACATATTCACCCAAGATATGAACGGATATGGCCTCCCTATGCAAACTTGCCAAAAATCTGCCTTAAAAAGTCAAGTTAAGTACTCATAAGCCCAATTCATCAACAACATAACACCAATGTCTCTGGCAAGTATGACAGCATTATTGTTGGAAACTACGGCACAAGTAAGCAAGTGTCTGCTTCCTCATAATTGTAGTCTTGCAAATCGTCACCTTTGCCACCCCTCTTCGTCACAACTTGATATATTGTGTTGGATGATGTGACTATAAGAGGAGTTGCACCAGTCTCATCTTATCTTCCTTTATAAATCATGCCTTAAGCTGTATTTAATCATTCTACTCATTTCAATACAGTAATTTTGCCATTTCAATTCATGTAGCATTT